TGGCCGTAAAAATGGGGCAAAGACCAACCATGGCCTCGCTTAGCGACAGAAATGTCAGGCGGTTGTGGTCGTAAGTCGAGGACGACCTGTAGTCCTATGCCCGAGGTCAGTGTGTGTGTGTGTGTGTTGTTTTTTGTGTGTCTCTTCTCTCACACCCAGAGACACGGAGTTCCCCAAATCCTTGGTGTGTATATACCACAATCTCTTGTTGGTTGTGACTCCAAATCATGGTTTACACACATTGCAAAGATTGGGGGGGGGGGGTGTCCATGCTTGGGACCCCCTTATTTATCCCCAATAGCTCCCCTTGTCCCAGAAGCGCTGGAACAACTTTGAAGCTGCTAGGGACTACAAAGCCTATCCAAGTGAAGGCGCGGGGGCCTTGTAGTGCCTGTAGGTGTTTAAATTGGGTGGCCGCACCACGTGACCCGCGCCTGGCTGGGCGACAACAGCACGTGACCATTCCTCTGTGGTGACGTCAGTCACATGACGGACGCTGCACCGCCCCGCCCCTTCGCCGTGTCCTTCCGCGCCTTTCGGCAGGAAGCGGCCTCTGAAAGGGGAAGGGTCTTTCTTTTACGGCTCCTTTCGAACCCCCGCCTCATTTCCCTCCGAGCTCCCCGCGCCCACCGTCCCGCGCCCCTTTCGAGCCGTCCTCACCGCCTGGGCGGCCGGGCTCGCACTACTTTGTTTTGGTCCCACGCAAGCCACGCACGGCGGGGTGACGTCACGCGCCCGCCAGGGGGGGGCGTGGCCTCGGCCCAAGTCGAAAACAAACGGCTTTTTTCCCCTTCGCCTTCGAATCTCGGCCTCGGCGTCGACAACAAGCCCTTTCCAGGATCCCTCGCGGCGGCCCGAACGGCGAAAGAGCAACCGCGGCGCCCGTTAAGGGGAGGGGGGGCGGAGAAGCATTCGGTGGGCGTGGCCGCGTCCGGCCGGGACTCCTTTCCCCCGCCCTCGGATCGCTGCGCCGCGTCGGTTCCTGCGCCTGCGCGCTGCTTGGGTGCAGCGGCCTCCTCTCTCCTCGGTCCGCCGCGTCGCCGCCTCCGCCCGTCGCCGCCGCCATGAAGTTTGTGTACAAGGAGGAGCACCCGTTCGAGAAGCGCCGCTCCGAGGGGGAGAAGATCCGCAAGAAGTACCCGGACAGGGTCCCGGTGAGTCTCTTAGGGCCCCCACCCCGAGGGTCTCTTTTTCCCGAGGGCGTCCGGACTTTCCCGGACGGGGCCTTCCCCTCTTTTTCAGCCTCCCCTCCTCTTCTTCCTCCGGGCAGGTCATCGTGGAAAAAGCCCCCAAGGCCCGAATAGGGGACCTGGATAAGAAGAAATACCTGGTGCCCTCCGACCTCACAGGTGAGANTGGGTGACTGGGCCAATCACCGGGAGACAGGGAGTTCTAGTCCCACCTTATCCATGAAAGCCAGTTGGGTGACTTTGGGCCAATCACTGGGAGACAGGGAGTTCTAGTCCGCCTTATCCATGCTACATGGAGGAAGGTGTGTTGGCCACATCCACCTCCTCCAATTTATTTCTAAAATAAGGAAAGTGGGAGAGAAATTTAAAAAAAGAAAGATTTGGGTCCGTCCGTCCGAAGCCCCCCCTGATTGGCTCTCCTTCCGTCCAGGTTCACAGCGGACGTCCGGTCGGTGCTCAGCCGCAACCTGCATCAACATCGCCTCTGGTGACGGCGGCTCCTCCTTTCTTCAGGATTTGGCCACGACCTCTGCCTTATCCCGCCATCGTGACCCGCTCGCCCGCGGCCCACAAAAAGGCCTTCAGACTCAACGGCAGGGGACGTGGCCCGTGGGGGAGGACTCCCGTTTCGGCCTCGCCCTGCGGCCGTCGGCCGTCCTCTCGCCTCCCGCCCTGTGGACTGGCAGTGACTCAGCCGGGCGGGGAGAGGGGCCGCGTTGCGCGGCACGACACCGGCGATTCCCGGGACGCACAAGAAAGGGGGTGAAAACTGCGCCAGCCGCCGAGAGCAACGCTTGGACAGACTTTTTTTTTTTTGGAAAGGAGGCTGTGTTCCACAGTGGGAAGAGCAGCTCGCCTCCCTCCCCAGCTTCCCTGTGGTTTTTGTTTCTTCCCGTTCCCCCCCCCTCAAACGGCAATCCTCAGATAAAAGGCGGGGGAGAGGGTCGCTTCGTCCGAGAAGAAGCTTTTGAGTGACTGCCTTCCTTTCCAAGGGGTCCTCCCAGCCCTCGTCTTCCTCCCCTCTTTGGCGGAAGCAGCCGGCCTTTCCGCTCGGATCGGTGCGGCGGATGGGGTCCCCCTCTTCCCTCCCCTGTGACAGGATGGGTTGGGTTTTATTTTATTTCTCGGACTTCTGGGACGGGCAGGGGTCTCGAAGGGGGAGATACGAGACAGGCTTTGAACTGAGGTGGAAAAAGGAAAAGAAAAAAAAGAAAAGGAAAAAACACTGAAACTTGTCTGGTGCCCATTCTTATTCTGGTGCCCCCAAAAAGGGAGTGGGCGGAAGGTGGGGGGGGCTAAGGGTCACCGGCGGCTCTCTTTCCCCTTTACGGGTGGTCCTCCACTTAACGGCAGGTCATGGTGTGACCGAAGTGAACTGGTGGGGGGAAAAAGAGACGTAAGACCGTGTGTCTAATGGATGCGGTGGCTCAGGGACACTGAGCTTGTTGATCAGAAAAGTCGGCGGTTCGAATCCCTAGCCCCGCTTAACGGAGCGAGCTCCCATGACTCCTCCCAGCTTCGGTCAAACTAGCATTAAGAAAGCACGTAAAAAATGCAAGTAGAAAAATAGGAACCACCTTTGGTGGGAAGGGAACGGCGTTCCGTGCGCCTTCAGCATTGAGTCATGCCGGCCACATGACCCCGGAGACGTCTTCGGACAGCGCTGTCTCTTCGGCTTTGAAACGGAGATGAGCAGCGCCCCCCTAGAGTCAGGAATGACTAACAGATACATACCTTTACATATCATGTATATCTTTATCTACCCAAGCGATCCAAATTCAGAGGCTCGGCTAACCGCCACGGACTTGTGACTGTTGCCGTGGCCCCCCGGGGTGGGGGGTCACAGAATCTCCTTTTGCAACCCAAAGCCGCATGGATTCACTTAACAGCCATGCCCCTGACTTATATAACAGCGGCAGTGATTCACAACCTGGGCAATCATGGCCGTAAAAATGGGGCAAAGACCAACCATGGCCTCGCTTAGCGACAGAAATGTCAGGCGGTTGTGGTCGTAAGTCGAGGACGACCTGTAGTCCTATGCCCGAGGTCAGTGTGTGTGTGTGTGTGTG